CAGGGTCCCAGCGGCACATCCCCACCCAGAAATTCCCAAAGTACCTCCCCCGGGGATGCTTGTAGGTGAAGCTCTAGTGCTTTTATCTCTTAAAGCAATAACAAGTTATTGCAGTGGTACAAGGTACATTGTAGATCCATATCAGTCTGCATAACATGTGTGTTGTGTTGATGTGCCGTGTATGCATTACATTTGTGATACACCGACCAACACTGTCATTTTGTGTTTCAAATTAATACAGGCTTTCGTCTGAGTGCCTCTGTAGATGACAGGAGAAGCAGCATCCGAAGCTCTGACAATGGAAAGTATTACGTGACTGTCCATTTTGACCGAGGGAAGATCACATCTGCACACTGTTCTTGTGAATTGTCAACAAACTGGTGTTCACATGTCGTTGCAACATGTTTGGCTCGAATAAAGAACAAAAATGCTGTGACAATTCATATGCCAGTCTCAGATTCATTGAATTCACTGAACAGAGAGCAGCTGTTGAAATTTGCACAGTACCTTCTGTGTGAACACCAGAATGAACGTATTGTAGAAACCGCACAGCAGTTGCTTGGAAAGTTGTTATCAAGACAACAGAGAGACCAACAAGAGGACATCAATATGATTGCTGGTGCACCTGATCCAACTGCTGGCCCTGGTAAGGATGTTCATTAAGCTACAAGTAGCATAAGATTGTGAGTTCTAAATGTGCCATAGGGGAGCCTCAAGTATGTTTCTCACACATGTAATGGACAACGACAATTGTCAAGCTGACTGCTGCAAACAGAAAGAACTGCTCTCCCCACAGGTCACATGACCTATACCCAAGCCCCAGCAGTGTTTGAGAAGAACATTTTACACTTATTTCGTTTCATTCAGCAGTGAAAAATTACTCGTAGTCATAGGTGAGGCAAACTTTTCTAGACACTGGCCTGTTGGCTAGTGACTCATTAATTGTGACTGCAGATACACAAGACAGATCACTTTTTCAGTAACCAAAATTTTCCATGACTGATTTTGTTACATTAGCCTATGAGTCATATGTTCATGTACATCAATAAATACGCTAACCTGCTAAAAAATTCAGGTTTGGATGAAGAAGCTCACTGGTTTGTGTCTAAGACTGGATTCAAGTCTCGATGTGAAAGCCTGATGTATGAGTCCCAAACGGATCTGGGTTTTGTGATGTACAATGACAAGGACAATGAGAGAGGAAGCTCCGTAGCTGAACTGTGGGATAGGAACTGCCTTCAACGAGCACTTGTTAGAGGTACATGTACATATTAAACACATATGAATACTTTAGTGACGTAATTAAGTAGCAGATTATCTGTCCTGATTTTTCTGTGGTATTCAACGTAGACTGCATTTAAGTTGATTTATTGTGTGCTGTTGTAAATTAAAGCTACATTTCTTTAATTGCAAACAATGTAGAAAGAAATAAAACTTTAAACGTTTGGACATTGCCTATGCTAAGAAAATTAGTATAAATATGCACAGGTGTACATTTATGTGACTTTTGTCTGTCAGAGAGTGGTTTAAGAGAACTGGAAACAGATACATTTTTGCAAACATTAATTAACACAAACTCTTTAAAATTCTACTGTTGACTGTCCTTACAATCCACTGCTGTTTGAGAGCAATGTAATTTATCATGTTATGTTTAAACAGTGTCATTGTTAACTGTCATCTTTGAAAACCTTCAAATTAGATGAAATGGACCTACAGCTTGACAACGAGTATTGCAGCTATTCTTCATCCCGACGCCACAGTGTTCTTCAAGTCCTGGAAACCATAGCTGATCTTCTTCAGGATGATTTTATGAGTGCAGTGTCAGCTTTGACGATGTGCACAGAGCAGCTTATTGAAAAACTGACCAAGATCTGCCGTGTGGACTCTCCTTATGACAGATACAGAACAGTTCATAGGAGAAAACAAGAACAAAAAGAAGCCATTACATTGTGTGGATCTCTAGCTGGAGGCTTTACTCCAAGAGTTTCAGGGTAAGAGGGTACAAAATGTATAATGTAGAATTCCAAAAGTAAAGGCCCCCCTGAAAATAACAGCTCCCAGGAAGTAATGTTAAATTTTTACCTTTTTATCAAGCCCCAAAAGCAACGGTTCCCCCTGAGAGTAGGGGCCCTCCCAAAAGTAGTGGCCCTTTGGAGAATTCACTAAAAGAGAAAGTCTCTGTTCTCAGACATGGGTCATGCAGATGGAACAGCCTGACTGCAGGACTGAACATTGACTTGAAGAGTTATCTGTGATTTTATTTCGAACTTGACTGAAATTTTCTTGAAACTATGATTTATAAGCCACAATTAGGAGCTGTGCTTTTAGGCTTGGCTAAATCTTTTATATATTACGTATATCATGTTTTTTTTTATGGCTTGTTCGCCATAAGATGCAGCCAATAGTAAATTAAAAATTGCCAAACTGAGAATTTTCTTCAGCAAATCAGTTTGCCTCAGATACTGCAATTTTGCCCCCCAGATTGTCTTGGAAGGGTGGCACTTTAAGCCCAAGAGAACATTTGGATGTTCACTTTTTCAAAACCTGGTTAAAAACTTGATATGCCTACATGTAATAAGTACTTTTGTGTACTAGTATTGTATAACCTAAAACAGAATGTGGATTTGGACAAAGGAAAAATAAAAAACAACTTGATTTCCAAACTTTATTCAAACCAAGAAAAACCTTGACACAATATGTCAAGCCTTCTTGAAAATTGCAAGTTTTTGACAATGCCCATAATTTCTCATCCAAGTTGTAGGACATTAAGTGATGAACTTTCCAGACTTTGGCGACTGGCTGTCCTCAGTCCTGGCATTCCCACCAAACAGCGCCAAGGGATGATTGATCAGCTGAGAACGTTGAATCAAACAGGTGATATATACAGTATATGTTCCAGCATGTACATGTCTAGGCACTAGGAAGATACAGGACTGCATCAGGCCAACTTATCATCTTACCAGAGCTTTTAAGCTTTCATTTTCTTTCCTTTTTTTTTAGTGTTTCATTTTTATCTCAACCAAGGTGTAAAAATGGACATGAAAATGGCTTTGACTGAATAGCTTTTGGCTGGCATGCTTTGCATTTGTCGTAAGAAGATAGCAACAACTCCAATTAATTGTAATTTGGGTGACATTTTTTTTTTGTGCATTAACACAAACAGCTGGGGTTATAATAATAATAATAATAATAATAATAATAATAATAATAACAATTACAATTACAATAATAATAATAATTATTATAATAATAAGAAGAATACTACTAATAATAATTATAATAAAAATATTTTATATTGTGCAAAATCCATATGTTCAAATGTGCATAACTATATTGAAAATGGAATAAATAATTAATAAATAAAAATGCTTGACAAAAACGGTGAGATTTTAATTTGGATTTAAAAGTACCCCTAGTTTTGGCACTCCTTATGTTATATGGTAGTGCATTTACCAGTTTTTGTTGTGTGGTCCCTTTTAGTTTCTGTACCTTTTGTAACTGGCACGTTACGTCCCTGGCAAGGCCTAGAGGTTGCTATTCGATTATCCTCCATCAACTGGCATGCCACTGAATTCCAGAAGGTGCTCAAAGGAGAATGGGTGTGGCTTCCTGTTGTAAGCAGCTGTATGGCAATCCAGCTAACCTGTCAATCAAAGAATCAGCATGTGTCAGAATGGATGGCAATGGAGGAAGGCAAAAGAAATGAGAATGCTGCTCAAAGTGGTTCAACCATGTCAGTAGCATTTCACAATCCTCACTGCATTTCATTTGGTGCACATTTTCACACTGACATACATTCAGTTTCCTCCATGATCGAAACTTTGAATACAACCGGTTATGAAGTGGGAGCTATGCGCCTGACAGTAGCACTATCCGCTGCCCTTGTGGCATTCTACAGGAGTGTTTTCTTTGGAATTTGCGATGTCAACGCATTGCCCATCTCTGCAAGATGCTTCCTGGGAACGGTGCACAAGATTGGAATGAAGCCTGAGGAAAAAGGAGAATCACCTATGGAATTTGAGACGTCTCATGGGAAGGCAAACAATGGGCTTGCCTGGCCAGAGGATACCATTTTGTCGATAACAACATTTGCATTTCTGTATCAGCTGCTTTCACAGAAGGCTGACCTAGCTGAATCATGTCTGGTAGAAATTAGGTCAAAGCTGGGGTCTGCAGAAACTGTCCCTGATCATTTAAAGAGTGTTCAGTCTCTCAAGTTTCATGTAGGAGTTCTTGGTCTGTTTTTACAGAGATTGCCAGCACCATCCCTCCATCATGAGGTGTGTGAAATTTTCTGCAACATGACAATGTACCTGTGCAGTATATGTACTTATTACATGGCTAGCTCCGTGAGCGGGCAAGATGAATCAAATCCTGCGCTGTGATTGGCTACCCGAGCAGGCAAGATGGAGCTATCTTGCCCGCTCAGGACTATCCGCCATGTCCCACAAGAAAATTTTCCCCAAAAGCCATATAACAAATCCTTTATTGACCAAGCTTGTTCGGTTAAGATGGCTTGATATTGGCCTCGTTCTTTTTTTTGCAAGTTTAAAGACCTCGACTGCGTCTCGGCCTGTAAACACGCAAAAAAATAACTTGGCCAATATCCAGCTATCTTGACTTCACACTTGGTCAATAACCCATACATGTACAAATAAAGGTGTGCCTGGAAAAAAGCCCCAAGTGACTTCAGGTAAACTGCTAGATCCCTCTTCCAGATTGCCTTGTATTCCCTTGTGAAGCACAAGGAGAGTTTGCTGTTACATCAACAGTCACTTAGGACTTTATTCTGTGCACCCCTTCAAATGTACTTCAATTCCTTGGAGAAATTGAGACCTCAGCTCTGTTTTTGATTGCTCAAAAGAAAAACTCAGAGATTAATTTCAAATGTTAACATACAGGTACAAATGAACTGACAGTCAGCACTTTTTTTTTGAAGTATAGTTGGTCTAATCGTCACACAGGCAAAATAGTCAAAATGTAACGAGGAAAATTCTTTTTTTTGTACAGTGTAATTACATTTTTGTTACATACAGTGTGTACTGTTGATTATACATGTACGTCCACAAAAGTGGGTACCGGCAAATTCTTTTTAAGTGGTCATTTAAAATAGATAACAGCGACATAACATAACCCAGTGACAGAATATTAAGTAAACGCGCAATCTAATCAGCTACACAGGCGTGGTCTAATTGTTTAATATCCGACAATGGGCGAACCAATGAGATTGGTTAAAGCATTCTCCTGATGTTGTTTGCTCATCAAAGGTTACAGGTTTGATTTTATATGCAATATAATGAGCCAGAGGATCGTTGTCATACATGTGTGTACACGTACTTAGAACTACTGAGAATTTTTCTTTTCTATCCTCAGGTAGAGCAGTACAACTATGAGTCCTGGCTGACTTACCAGCTGATCTGCAGTTCTCCAGCCGACTCTGAATTATCCTTCCTCACACATCTTGGACAACAAGTCCAAAGTACGACCACACCCAGGGTCACCCCACCCTCGTCTCTATGCCGTGTAATATTCCACCACCTCTTCAAGGGGGCCCCTGCTGCACTCAGTAAGTGTCTGACAGAACGGCAAAGCCAGGGGCTCGGAGCAGCGTTTCATGTCCTCGGACATGTTAACAAGTACACTGTTGAGCAGTGCTCTTCGTCTTGGATGCTGTTTCAGTATGCGAACTGCAGACTTTGGGCCAAACTGGCCGAAGTTGTTCTGCGCTCGCTTTCTGACTCGCAAGAGCTGTTGGAGAAAGCCATGGGTTACATTCATCAACCAAATGGAATGCTCGGTGCACAGTCCTTGCAGGACTTGCTAATTGAATCGACGCCTGTGAACGTGCTGTCGCGCTTGCGTGACGTGGAGTTTGTTGGAGCCAAATGTCGTGTTGCTTATTGCCTAGCCAAGTCACTCAGCGAGAAGCAGGGGAACTCCATAAAGATGATACAGTACAAAACGGAAACTGGTGATCGAGGACCGCGAAGCGAGAGCTTTGAGATGGGAATGCCGAGGAAGATCATGAAGTCGGGCGTTGAGAACGCACTTAAGTTGTGTGCCGTCCAGATTGCTGCTCACAGTTTGTGGTTGCAGAAGCTGTCTGACAGAAGCCGTATTCACAGCGATATCGTCAGGTATGTTACACAGTTTGTCTCCGATATTCCACTTGCGCAGAAACTGGCACAAGATTGTTTTTATAGTATGAGATCGAGGCTTGGTGTAGGTTGCCCTTCTTATTGAGTAATAAGCCCCATTTTGGCAGACATAAAGATCAGACAACGAGACTAAGACCTGTAAATTGAGAATTGAGCCTTAGCGAGTCTTACTGTGATATTTTGCTTACGAAATGTGCGATGTTTTACAGATATCGATGCCATTGTAAGAAAACTACGTGTACATTTGTTCCTTGTGCTAAGCCTTGGGTGTATTTTCGCATCTACAAATGCCACACACGTAAAAGAATGACTTACATGTACACTATACATGTAGGTCACATTAAGTGTTCGATGTATAATTTTGTTCTTTCATTTCTTGAGGACAAAGGAATTGTTCCTTATCCCCGTTGACTGCAATTTTTAGGAACTTATAAGCTAACCTGACCATCGTATGCCTTACTGTACATGTAGGTGGTTGACAGACTTTGTGGTCAGTTCTGGAATGGAGACCGTGAGGTGTCTTGTAAAGTGCAAAGATAACGTCACTTCCTTTCTCGCGCAGAGCGAGCTTCTGGATCTCTGCGAGAAAGTCCTAAGGGTAAGAACATGTACAGTGCAGTAATGGAATCTACCATTTATCAAAATATTTTGGTAGGAGTTTTATGAACACGTTTTCTTGGCTCCTCTGAATAGACAGTCCTCTTTTGTCGGTTAGACGATCTGATATGCGATGTTTTTAACTCCTCACACGTCTCAAGGTTTTGATGTGGGTGGCTACTCAGTTCGGGTCCAGGCTTCTAGCCTAACTCAAGGCCCTCTGGAAGATGGAACAAACCAATCTTTGCCATGAGCTGTTCCTTTGTTTTTGTTTCTTCTTTTTTGTCTGTTTTTAACAGTTACAGAACGCAGTGAAGCAAATTAAAGTAAATCTGGGTTACTATCAGGAAACATTTTTTTAAAAATTGCTCCCAAAGAGGCTTTTTCAGCACATACAAGATAATTTTTATGTGTGTGTGAGTGAGGCAGTTTTTTTGTTTGTTTGTTTGTTTTTATCCTTGTAGAAAGAGAATCATGTAGTCACAAGTCACGGCCAGGACATCGTCCAAGGCATTCTTCTGTCCTTGTTGCAAAAGGCCAGTCAATCACAAGCTTCAGAAGACTTAAAGAGAATTGTTTCATTTTGCAGGTATATTTAAAGAAATGGTTTCACGGCTCGGTTCATGTACAATTTATAATGTTAACCCATTCGATTTCGTTGTGTATGAAACAATCGGAACCGAGCTGATCATTAGTACGGATAATATTTTTTTGAAAATTTTCCGGTCAGTTGTGAAAATAGGCTCGATTACCAGCCGCTGTTCGGGAAAGGAGCCCGCGCTCCTCCCCCGAACTCACTCTCTCTTCTCGGGGAGGAACTTAGACCGGACTCGAGAAAGCGGCGGAAATCGAGCCTATCGTGAACATTCGTTGATCCAGTGTTGCTTTTCTACTAAGTGATTTGAATGACGTTGGCTGGCTTATGATCGTATTCATTTTCTAACTGTGCTCGCAAAAGGGAGATGCAACATACAGTGTTACTACTTTCTAAAGGAAGTTGGTACCGGCCGGCCGTCTCGGATACGTTACACAAATAACTTGATCGTGAAGACATAGGAAAAAGTCGGACAGGAACAAGGTCAAGGCCTCTCGAAACCAACCCAACCTTCTTAAGTGAATATTCGTTATGGAGCCTACAATCAATATATTGTCGGAGATTGGACTCTTTGTGAGTAAGCAGTATGCTTATAACAGAGTAAGTCACATTTTAGTAAACCGATTTTTGGAATTTATTGTACATTGTGGTAACTGTTTTTTTTTTTAGAGAGAAGCGATGTGCAACTAAAGTGGATTTACTGCCTTGGATCTGCAAAGGACTGCAATCTTTAGCATATAACAATGGGTTTTTACCATTTGAAGTACTTATGGACGCAAGTCACGGCATGCTTGAACATTACAAAGGGAAGCTTGCAACAACGGAGAACCTTAACAGGGTGCTGTGGAGTCAGAAAGGAGCGCTACATCTGGTAAGTGTACGTGTACGTGTATCTCTTGTTACTGCAACTTGAGAAATTACCGTTCAAGTGTAGCCTGCGTCGCAGACAGTCCAAACCGCCGGTGGATGTTATGGCACGTCCGGCTGCAACGCAGGCTATTCAAGTGCGGTTTCTGGAGAACAAATCAATTGGTAATATTGTGACCCTCCGTGTATGGCATCCGTATTATTATTATGTACTTTTGCTTGGAAGCCTGCCAATAAAAAAAGTTTAATGTTCCAGCGTAATTCGTCATTAGTCGAGAAGTTTTGAAAAGCTTTCAGTTTTCTTTGTCTGCTGTTTTTTCTTATTGACGTTTTACTGAGTTCTGTTAATGGTTCAAAACGCTCGTGCAACATGGTTTGACCGATAAGAAAAAAACCGGCTACTTTCTCAACCAATAAGGTGATAGATCAAAACGAATCTTAAACTTTTGGTTCTCTGGGCTCTCTACGTTTCCCGCGCTTTTCACCGGTTGCAAGGTTTCTCCGCGAGCCCTGATTGGTTGCAGTATTTGGCTGCGTTGTGATTGGCCAGGCAATACTTTGGTTTTGACTGATATGCAGTCATTTATTGAAAACCTACAATTAATTTTGAATTTTGTTACAACTATTTCTTTCTCATGCTTTTCAACCTCTTCCTTTCAGGATAGGCTATTTAACGAAGGTGTGCACGTCGAAGACGACTCAGACAATGAAGATGGTGAAAGTACGTTTGTCAACAGGAACCCGTACAGAACTCCCGAGCCCCATCCTTTCCTTCAAACCGCCTTCGATCTGGGCATGATGGGATTAGAGAAACTCAAAGAGAAACCTGATTTGTTAGATGGAGGGTATCGTCACTATCGGCGCTGTCCAGTCAAGGAACACTTGAGTGAATTTTGCAGGTGCGTGCTCTTGTTGTCTGTTTTGCTTGCATTCAGTACGTTCTAGTCGCAATGGCTGTGTTTTTTTTTTTAATTTCGAGCTGTAAACGACGTAAAAAATGGAGTCAAATTTTGATTCAAATACCGTCAAATATCGATCAACCACCCCTGACGTATATTTCAAACTTGGCCAGTTGGTCCCGGTGGTTGAAACTGATGTATCTGACTCCTACAGCGATGTTTTTCAGTTGTGGGTTATTATGAACTTAGTTTTCACTTGAATGGTCACGCACAAAGGTTTCCTCCATAGACTTACAAAGTTACTGTTTCATTATTTGGGTGGAGTCCTCACACTAATTTTGGTTATGTAGGTATGCTAGGGGTTAATAGAAGCTTTTACCAAGAGAAGATCAACGTACTTACCTTGATCATCTCTTGCTTTTTTACCACACTTCGGTTTATGTTTTGGGGTGAGTGGGGGGCAACCTCTTCTGTGGATTGTGACGGAGTATGTTTTCGATTTTACAGACTTGTGTGCTATATGGTCAACAAGAAATGGCTGGCAGATGCACCAGGAAGTCCCACGCAGATCAAAAAATCAACAAAGAAAGCAGACGAAACACCTCCGTCTGTCAGTGCTAAACCAGGCTGTAGCCATTGGATTGATGGTGAGCTGTGACGTCTGATGATTCTTGTATAGATGATTGAACCTGTTCTGCAAAACACGGTGTGAGCGGTGTGATTTTGAATTGAGTTTCGTCAAAGAAAAATTAAAATAATCACTGGCCAATCACAAAGGACGCGGACAATCCAGTGAACCAATCAAAACTGGGAGCAAATACATGTAGCTGACGCGAAACGCGAGAAAACGTGTGCGAGCGAGGCGCGATTGGTTTTGTTTTTACTTCTGATTGGCTGATAAGGTTGGGCGGGGTTTTTAAGCCAATCGCTCAGCGCAGTATTACAGAAACCAAAGAAAACGTGAATTACTTTCAACACTCAATTGAAAACCGCTCCATAGTGTCATTGTACATTGGGAACTTTCCCGGCGTAACCACCTGTGTGTTGAGCAGTTTGAATGTTGATAACAAGGGAATACATGTAAACTTACGGCGCACTTAGCATTTCAACACCCCCTTCCCCCATGGGGTGTGTAGCTATAATAATTATTCGCTGTTGATGACGGAAACAATTTTAGCCCATCAGTGGAAGTCATGATTATTTTAATTATCCTTACAACCTGCTTCATTTTAATTGTAGCCAAATCTCAGCCTGACTCAAGGACGTCTGTTGACAGTTGCTATCTTCACAAGTTCGTTTGTTCTTTGATCAGTGGCGTTAGTAATCCCTTGTGGCTTTTCGAGGTGCTTCAAGAGGTATTTCAAAGGAACCGTTAATTTGTTATTTGTTTGGGGCGTTCGAGTAATTCAGCTTATGGATAATACACTAAATTGTTGTCAACACACTTATGCATAGACAGATAAACAGCCCATTTTCGTATTCCCGGTATTGGACTGAAACTAGCTTGCAACTGAGGCTAATGCAGGCAGGGAGTCTTTTCAACAGGCCAATGTCGATATATCCGAGGCTTAGAGAATAAAACAAAAGTAATTGAATCTAGCATGACAGATGAAAAGTTCATTTCTTTTGTTTTATTCCCTTTAAGCCTCGGGGCTAAGTTAGAATTTTAATATATTTTAATATATCTTAATATCTATATAATATAGAAATTAATATACATATATCATTCTCCCGCATGAGTCCCCATTGCAAGCTAGTTCCAACTCAATACCGAGCATACGCAAATGGTCCATTGCATTTCTTTGACTAAATCTACTTGACTAAATGAAGACTACACGATGCAGTGAATGAGACTTTCTTAGTATAACGGTGATGACCCCACTACCCCAGGTGTCCCGTTTTACGCAATATTCGACCAAGCTAGACGTGGAATGTCGCGTTTTTTCTGACTCAGTCGCGGCGCTCGGCATGGCTAAGGTTTGATATCTCTGGCAAGTTCCTCTCTCCTCTTAGTCCCCGTCCACATTACGCCGGAAGAATCTGAAAACGGAGCCGGTTTCACTCGTAAAACGCATCAAATGTTAAAACGCAACAATCACCGGTCATTTTGGATTTGCGTTTGAGGAAAACTCGGTCTGGGAAATCACGTGATTATCGTGATGTCATCGTTTTCGACAAGCTCCGTTGTCAAAATGTTTTCTGTCCACCTGATAATGAAAAACCGGCGTTTTGCTCCGGTTTGAAGAGCGTTTTCGAAAAACTCTGTTTTCTTTACGGTGTAGTGTGACCGGTAGCCCTAACCGTAGAAATAAAGCTGCGTTTTCAAATTTCTCCGGTGTAATGCGGACGCTGCCTTATACAGCATCGTCAATGTTTTTCGCCCTTGATTTTTTTTTTTTTTTTTCGGTTTTAGCTTGGCGATCACTTGTGTACGGAAGTCCTACGTAGCAGTCCAACATCAAGGCAAGAAAGACAGAACCTTCAGATCAAAGAGGCTTGTCAAGGTTATCCCTCGGTGAAACTTCTACTACAGAGGTAAGCAAACCTGTTACCAACTTACAAATTCTCTTTACTGGTTTCCTGCATATTTCTTATAGCATTAGTTGGGAGAATTTTAACTTAAGATCAGTAATAACTCTTGGGACTCGAAGGGATATGCATAAGGGCTAGGGCCGGTGGAACAAGTACATCTTGATGGCGAATTGACAATTTTCTAGATGTGTTTTGCCTCTGTTTGAAAACGAATTCAACGTGCAAAGCTTTACGTACAAAAATATGTTTAATTTGCACGAAAATGAACGTGCAGTTGAAATAAATGTTCGTACGTTGTGACAACGAGGCAAAAGGNTACCTTGATCATCTCTTGCTTTTTTACCACACTTCGGTTTATGTTTTGGGGTGAGTGGGGGGCAACCTCTTCTGTGGATTGTGACGGAGTATGTTTTCGACTTTACAGACTTGTGTGCTATATGGTCAACAAGAAATGGCTGGCAGATGCACCAGGAAGTCCCACGCAGATCAAAAAATCACCAAAGAAAGCAGACGAAACACCTCCGTCTGTCAGTGCTAAACCAGGCTGCAGCCATTGGATTGATGGTGAGCTGTGACGTCTGATGATTCTTGTATAGATGATTGAACCTGTTTTCCAAAACACGGTGTGAGCGATGTGATTTTGAATTGAGTTTCGTCAAAGAAAAATTAAAATAATCACTGGCCAATCACAAAGGACGTGGACAATCCAGTGAACCAATCAAAACTGGAAGCAAATACATGTAGCTGACGCGAAACGCGGGAAAACGTGTGCGAGCGAGGCGCGTACTGAGTATTTCAGCATTCCCTTCCCCCGTGGGGTGTGTAGCTATAATAATTATTCGCTGTTGATTACGGAAACAATTTTAGCACATCAGTGGAAGTCATGATTATTTTAATTATCCTTACAACCTGCTTCATTTTAATTGTAGCCAAATCTCAGCCTGACTCAAGGACGTCTGTTGACAGTTGCTATCTTCACAAGTTCGTTTGTTCTTTGATCAGTGGCGTTAGTAATCCCTTGTGGCTTTTCGAGGTGCTTCAAGAGGTATTTCAAAGGAACCGTTAATTTGTTATTTGTTTGGGGCGTTCGAGTAATTCAGCTTATGGATAATACACTAAATTGTTGTCAACACACTTATGCATAGACAGATAAACAGCCCATTTTCGTATTCCCGGTATTGGACTGAAACTAGCTTGCAACTGAGGCTAATGCAGGCAGGGAGTCTTTTCAACAGGCCAATGTCGATATATCCGAGGCTTAGAGAATAAAACAAAAGTAATTGAATCTAGCATGACAGATGAAAAGTTCATTTCTTTTGTTTTATTCCCTTTAAGCCTCGGGGCTAAGTTAGAATTTTAATATATTTTAATATATCTTAATATCTATATAATATAGAAATTAATATACATATATCATTCTCCCGCATGAGTCCCCATTGCAAGCTAGTTCCAACTCAATACCGAGCATACGCAAATGGTCCATTGCATTTCTTTGACTAAATCTACTTGACTAAATGAAGACTACACGATGCAGTGAATGAGACTTTCTTAGTATAACGGTGATGACCCCACTACCCCAGGTGTCCCGTTTTACGCAATATTCGACCAAGCTAGACGTGGAATGTCGCGTTTTTTCTGACTCAGTCGCGGCGCTCGGCATGGCTAAGGTTTGATATCTCTGGCAAGTTCCTCTCTCCTCTTAGTCCCCGTCCACATTACGCCGGAAGAATCTGAAAACGGAGCCGGTTTCACTCGTAAAACGCATCAAATGTTAAAACGCAACAATCACCGGTCATTTTGGATTTGCGTTTGAGGAAAACTCGGTCTGGGAAATCACGTGATTATCGTGATGTCATCGTTTTCGACAAGCTCCGTTGTCAAAATGTTTTCTGTCCACCTGATAATGAAAAACCGGCGTTTTGCTCCGGTTTGAAGAGCGTTTTCGAAAAACTCTGTTTTCTTTACGGTGTAGTGTGACCGGTAGCCCTAACCGTAGAAATAAAGCTGCGTTTTCAAATTTCTCCGGTGTAATGCGGACGCTGCCTTATACAGCATCGTCAATGTTTTTCGCCCTTGATTTTTTTTTTTTTTTTTCGGTTTTAGCTTGGCGATCACTTGTGTACGGAAGTCCTACGTAGCAGTCCAACATCAAGGCAAGAAAGACAGAACCTTCAGATCAAAGAGGCTTGTCAAGGTTATCCCTCGGTGAAACTTCTACTACAGAGGTAAGCAAACCTGTTACCAACTTACAAATTCTCTTTACTGGTTTCCTGCATATTTCTTATAGCATTAGTTGGGAGAATTTTAACTTAAGATCAGTAATAACTCTTGGGACTCGAAGGGATATGCATAAGGGCTAGGGCCGGTGGAACAAGTACATCTTGATGGCGAATTGACAATTTTCTAGATGTGTTTTGCCTCTGTTTGAAAACGAATTCAACGTGCAAAGCTTTACGTACAAAAATATGTTTAATTTGCACGAAAATGAACGTGCAGTTGAAATAAATGTTCGTACGTTGTGACAACGAGGCAAAAGGTAACCCGAAAATAGCCGTTGCTTTCGTGTGAAAGTTACCTAGAATTTTGACTAGTCCTTCGACAAAGATTTGCCAAAAACAGCACTTGTTACTCCGACTGGACGCGAACAATAACGCCTGAGGGGAAAAAAATTGTTGGAATTATTGTCACTAATCGAAAGTGAGGAAATACGTTTGGGTAAGTTGCAAATTATGAATTGGTTTGGTTTGCATGAAAACTAGGCTTAACCAAAAAAAGACACTCTTGTTCTGGTTTTGAGCCAATTACGAAGCTTCTTAACGCAGAGATGAAACATCCTTTCCCTTATGTTTCCAGGAACTTGGATGAATTTTCCAAACTTCTTCTGGGCCCTGAAATGTCAACCTCGATCGATGAAGTTGTTCGTCGTCGCGATCGACGCCGACTTGAGCAGTCAGAATTCATTTACGAGCTGAGTCACTGTCAGCTAATGAACACAAGACTCAAGGAAGTGTTAAAGACCGCCAAGAGAGCCTTCAGTATCTCCGACTCCAGCGGATCCTTGTTCAAAAACCTCACTGACGAAATAACTTCTCAGCACTCTATTCTTCAACCTCTGGTCGATCGCGTTTTAAAAGACAAGGAGCTTTGTTCTTCTGACGAGCGCGAAATGGCCATGTTTCCCCATGCTAGTATTCTACCCGCTTTGTTTGCCCAAGGCTTGTTTCCGGGCCTGTTCGAGAGAAGTCCCATAGAAGAGTACTTTTAAAAAACTTTTAAATGCCTCGTACGGTTTCCTTATAAACCCGATAACGATTCATATCCTTGTGGCCTTCGTTAGTTTGATCATTTATCTGAGTCGGAGAAAGGAAGTTCATGTTCATTTGTTTAGCTTATAGAGCGTTACTGTTCAAGAAAAACGCTTCATTTCATGCAAGGTCTACTCACTTTGATTCTTTTCGCTCTTCGAGCGGCGACATAATTGTTCCACCAGGTTCCACGCGCGTGTAGTGAAGAGCTGAGCCACGCGCGAAGCTCACGCTTTGCTTGAATGTTTGTGNTGGGGTGTGTAGCTATAATAATTATTCGCTGTTGATTACGGAAACAATTTTAGCCCATCAGTGGAAGTCATGATTATTTTAATTATCCTTACAACCTGCTTCATTTTAATTGTAGCCAAATCTCAGCCTGACTCAAGGACGTCTGTTGACAGTTGCTATCTTCACAAGTTCGTTTGTTCTTTGATCAGTGGCGTTAGTAATCCCTTGTGGCTTTTCGAGGTGCTTCAAGAGGTATTTCAAAGGAACCGTTAATTTGTTATTTGTTTGGGGCGTTCGAGTAATTCAGCTTATGGATAATACACTAAATTGTTGTCAACACACTTATGCATAGACAGATAAACAGCCCATTTTCGTATTCCCGGTATTGGACTGAAACTAGCTTGCAACTGAGGCTAATGCAGGCAGGGAGTCTTTTCAACAGGCCAATGTCGATATATCCGAGGCTTAGAGAATAAAACAAAAGTAATTGAATCTAGCATGACAGATGAAAAGTTCATTTCTTTTGTTTTATTCCCTTTAAGCCTCGGGGCTAAGTTAGAATTTTAATATATTTTAATATATCTTAATATCTATATAATATAGAAATTAATATACATATATCATTCTCCCGCATGAGTCCCCATTGCAAGCTAGTTCCAACTCAATACCGAGCATACGCAAATGGTCCATTGCATTTCTTTGACTAAATCTACTTGACTAAATGAAGACTACACGATGCAGTGAATGAGACTTTCTTAGTATAACGGTGATGACCCCACTACCCCAGGTGTCCCGTTTTACGCAATATTCGACCAAGCTAGACGTGGAATGTCGCGTTTTTTCTGACTCAGTCGCGGCGCTCGGCATGGCTAAGGTTTGATATCTCTGGCAAGTTCCTCTCTCCTCTTAGTCCCCGTCCACATTACGCCGGAAGAATCTGAAAACGGAGCCGGTTTCACTCGTAAAACGCATCAAATGTTAAAACGCAACAATCACCGGTCATTTTGGATTTGCGTTTGAGGAAAACTCGGTCTGGGAAATCACGTGATTATCGTGATGTCATCGTTTTCGACAAGCTCCGTTGTCAAAATGTTTTCTGTCCACCTGATAATGAAAAACCGGCGTTTTGCTCCGGTTTGAAGAGCGTTTTCGAAAAACTCTGTTTTCTTTACGGTGTAGTGTGACCGGTAGCCCTAACCGTAGAAATAAAGCTGCGTTTTCAAATTTCTCCGGTGTAATGCGGACGCTGCCTTATACAGCATCGTCAATGTTTTTCGCCCTTGATTTTTTTTTTTTTTTTTCGGTTTTAGCTTGGCGATCACTTGTGTACGGAAGTCCTACGTAGCAGTCCAACATCAAGGCAAGAAAGACAGAACCTTCAGATCAAAGAGGCTTGTCAAGGTTATCCCTCGGTGAAACTTCTACTACAGAGGTAAGCAAACCTGTTACCAACTTACAAATTCTCTTTACTGGTTTCCTGCATATTTCTTATAGCATTAGTTGGGAGAATTTTAACTTAAGATCAGTAATAACTCTTGGGACTCGAAGGGATATGCATAAGGGCTAGGGCCGGTGGAACAAGTACATCTTGATGGCGAATTGACAATTTTCTAGATGTGTTTTGCCTCTGTTTGAAAACGAATTCAACGTGCAAAGCTTTACGTGCAAAAAAATGTTTAATTTGCACGAAAATGAACGTGCAGTTGAAATAAGTGTTCGTACGACTGGTGTCTCACCAAGATTCGTTGTGAAAACGAGGCAAAAGGCAACCAGAAAATAGCCGTTGCTTTCTTGTGAAAGTTACGTAGCAACGGATCGTGCCATGATTGTATGACTTTCGAAGTACTGCCGGGTGTTTGCACTTTTCCTCGAATGGATGTTAAGAATTGGAATTTTGACTAGTTCTTCGACAAAGATTTGCCAAAAACAGCACTTGTTACTCCGACTGGACGCGAACAATAACGCGTGAGGGAAAAAAAAATTGTTGGAATTATTGTCACTAAATCGAAAGTGAGGAAATACGTTTGGGTAAGTTGCAAGTTATGAATTGGTTTGGTTTGCATGAAAACTAGGCTTAACCAAAAAAAAAAGACACTCTTGCTCTGGTTTTGAGCCAATTACGAAGCTTCTTAACGCAGAGATGAAACATCCTTTCCCTTATGTTTCCAGGAACTTGGATGAATTTTCCAAACTTCTTCTGGGCCCTGAAATGTCAACCTCGATCGATGAAGTTGTTCGTCGTCGCGATCGACGCCGACTTGAGCAGTCAGAATTCATTTACGAGCTGAGTCACTGTCAGCTAATGAACACAAGACTCAAGGAAGTGTTAAAGACCGCCAAGAGAGCCTTCAGTATCTCCGACTCCAGCGGATCCTTGTTCAAAAACCTCACTGACGAAATAACTTCTCAGCACTCTATTCTTCAACCTCTGGTCGATCGCGTTTTAAAAGACAAGGAGCTTTGTTCTTCTGACGAGCGCGAAATGGCCATGTTTCCCCATGCTAGTATTCTACCCGCTTTGTTTGCCCAAGGCTTGTTTCCGGGCCTGTTCGAGAGAAGTCCCATAGAAGAGTACTTTTAAAAATAATACGTCGCATTTGAAGCCTCGTGATTTAAAATGTTGGTTACGGAAAATAATCCAAAATGATTTTGTGGGTTGAGGCTCCTTTACCTACTCAGACCCTCTTAAACTCAATTGCTTACAAATTTTGAATTGCGATTTAAAGCGTGATGGACTCGATTATCCAGTTTCCACTTGGAAAAACCTGCATGTTTTAATTCCCGTCATGTGATGATAGGTTTGATTCGACAGCTCTGATAAATATTGTAGAATGCTGAATGGAAATATGTTCATTAACATTTTCTTCACCTGCAGTCCTCTTCCCTAAACATTCTTTTATTGTTATTTTATTTCATTTTATTTTTACTGTAAATCCTGATAATTTTCGAAAAAAAAATGAAACAAAAAATTTTCTTTTCGAAATAACCATCATTTATTCGCGGACTTACAATTTGCTTCTCATACTCATTTGTAATTCATCAAGTTTAAACCAAGAAAATCATGAGCGTGAAGGTGTTTCGATATCTGATCTTAATTAGCATAGATTTTTACGATTTTATTTCCACGTTTCCTCCTAGTTTAAGTTTCGATTGAGAAGATATATCAACTACTCAAGACCGTGTTTGACCTCATTTCCAAACACCTTCAAGTTCGTCAAAAATGCTCCGCTAGGCGTTGTATAGCCAACTTTCTTCTCGGTGTTTGGAAATGTGGTCAAACACGGTCTTTCGTGTTTAATATATTACGTATATTAATTTAAATTTCTATCGAGTTCTTTTTAGGTTTGTTTACAAATCATTAACTGATGTCATTTCAAACATTTCTTAGCGGAAACATCAGCTTGAGCTCGGGTAATTCATGGTCTACTCTTAGTAAGGTTGAGGTTGAATTCATAAAAAAGTCGCTCAATATAATTTACAACTGTGACCAAAATTATAACACTTGTTATTATAAAATCGAGCTATTCGCCTCCAAAGAAACAGCAGCAACAATAAAAAGTTCTTTATATTTTAATGCGAAGAGCTTTATTTTGTTGCGCCCGCCTAAATTGAGACAAAGTATGATTTTGAGCAACCGATTATTAACTAACTAAATCGAGTTGCCGCTTTATACACGAGAGTTTCCTCTTGCTCTTTTGAGATCAGTAAAATCAAAAGTTACTGTCAGAGTTTTTACTCCATAGAATACTCTTGACTCCTGTCTCACTCCTCTTCTGTTAAAACCATTCCCGCCTCTTGCTTTCCTTGGTGAAACCCAGTTCCACTCTGCACGACCTCCTAAATTGTTCGTAACATACGCGTTCGAATATTCCGCAATACCTGCCTTCTTTGCAAAACTACAGCACACAAGTTTGTGAAGGTAGCTGAGAACGAAACGGTTTCTCAAGATGTAGAGGATTGGTAATAGAGATCCTTTCAGACGAAACAAGAAGTACACAGCAAATGCCGTCCCGGGGGCGAGAACACGAGTTTTCGGGAACATCGTCCAAACAATTGCGACGAAAAACGGTGTCATGCATAAAATATACACCAGGAGCAAGATGATGGCCGTAATCGGTGATCTGGCATGCGCGCGCGTCACGAAACTTTCCGAAGGGACTCGGTTTGCGACTTGTAATGAACCTTCGTGTGTTTTAACTTTCCGTCTCCGCCGCACTGTACTAAAAACGCGGTAAGAAACGTAGCAGATACCGAGTAAAGGAAGGAGAACGGAGACCATCTTGTAGAACACGGACAGGGCTTTTAACGGTAATCCAGCCTCGAAAAGGCGTGGGAGTGTATGGCATAAAGCTCCCTTGTTTACAATTTTCTCGAGTCTTGCCAGTTTGTTCCATGGAGTCGCCACGACTGCAGACTGCAACCAGCACCAAGTTATGACCACCATTGTTCGCTCTTTGGACATTCGCTTACGAGAGTTTCTAACCAGGTGAACGTATCTGTCGAGCGCTATGCCGCACATGCTTAGAATCGAAGCTGCTTTGAACAAGCTATCGAAGAAAGCTGACAGAGTGCAAAAGACATCGCCGTCCATCAGACTTGGGATGTAAGCTGGCGTTACATAAAACGCAATGTCTGACAAAACCAGGAACGTGTCTGCGAGGCAATGGTTCAACACCATCGTGTTCGTGGCAGTCCTCATCTTGTAGTTTTGGCAGTAGGAAAATATAATTACCGAGTTACCTAGCAAAGTGGAAGCAATTACTAGAAAGCTCAAAAAGAACTTGCCGTAATCATATTCATGCGGCAGATTATTCTCCACTGAGAGCGATCTGTTAGCGGAATATTCCAAATAAGATTGATTTGCCATACTATGCCAGAAAAATATCCGTAGAGGAGCTGAAGACGAGAAATGTACGCTTCGACGGTACTGATCTTTCATATGTTCGGAGCTTCATTAATATTCTGATATAGAAAATCAGTCCCTTTTTCTCCTTGCCGGTTTTGTTATCAACATGGAAGTCAGTTTTTGTTCCAGAGACGTAAGCATCGTCTATTGACTTCCTTCTCGTCATTGTCATGTAGATATCACTAGTTCCGCTGTTTTTTAACGCATTTATATCAAACGTATTACCAGAATATAAACAGCTGGCCTAATCTTCTGTAAAACACAAGAGTTATCCACGGTCTTTTATGATTCGCTGCTGAAAATAAAAATCAAATGTAAGGTTTTGTCCGCAAATGGGGTTTACGAACAGCGGAGCCAGTTACAAGCAAGCTCTTAGTTGTCCAGTCTTTAGCACGAAGCGTTGAGACAAATTAATAATCTCTAGAACTGCGCATTCTAGAAACTGTCACGAAGCCCATTTAAATCCAATGTTTTAATTTCGTCACGATTCTGCCAATATATTTAATTTTATTTAGCATATTTGATGTAGAAATACCGTCGGCGTTTTTGATAAGGCCAAACTATGAATTATATCTGTTAAATGAATTTACATGACGTTACGACCTTGTTTATTACATCACGCGCGGTTATCAAGGCAAGGCATGCCTTGAGTACTTTGAATGAAACTCGGCGAAATCATAAAATGTTGAAGTGCTCCGTCTTTTCCAGTCGAATCGAAAATATTTCAGTGGTACGACATATCCAAAGTTTTAAATGTCCTAAATTTAGACTGTGGTTACTTGTAGTTCTGATTATATGCTTTAATTTTTGACCGAAATCTTGTAACTCGAGATCACTTTTCCTTGAGGTGCCCAAGCTGATTTTGACCTCATACCAACTATAGAAGTTTCAGAATACTTCACTGCATGGAAATGTTTTCAAGGAATTCGAGTTATGAAGCATATTATTGAAAAAATTTCATATTAAAAGGTTGATCGTAAATATAAATCAGTGTACATATAGTCTTCACCGCTCGCGAGCGTCTTTTCCAACAACAGTTACTGTGGGATGAAGACGCTTCAGTTTATGAGCTAGAGATAAACTAAAGAAAATATTTCTTTACTCTCGTCTTGTTTCTCCTTAGTTTATTTTTGAAAGTGAACCTGCATGTAAGTATAGTCTTTTGTCAACTGAAATGCTTATCAAAATATTGCTGTTTGCTTCTTCTCTTAAAGACCCTTTAACTTTCTTTTTCTGCAACTTTATAACCAGCTGAACTTTCTAATTTTACAGAACACGAGTCGACTTAGATGAATTAAAGAACACCACTGTGTTTTTGCAACTGATTTGAAATACAGTCATGCCTTTAATTTTGCATCAGCTCAACGGAGCAGTCTGTAAATCCCACCGAAAAAGCTGGTGCGATTTTACTTTTTGTCTATCGATATACATGAAAACGCCCTGAACTGATTCGATTCGGCCAAAGATGTGAAGCCACTCATTTGAACCACTCTATTTTGCATGCATTCTGTGTTTTTATCATCAAAGACCGATTCTGTATTGTTTTGTATATAGTTTGGCTTCTGTTCTCTGCAGGTGCTTTCCGCAAATGCAGTTTTCCAAATCCGCCTGTCCAAATGAACCCATTCTTCCTTGGTACAATGTCACGTTCATTTATATCCGACAAATTCGAAGTTATAGTGCGGTCTCTTGAGCGTTTAGCGGATACAAAAGATCCGCTCATTTGCTCTTGACGGATGATGCTTCAGTCAAATTCAAATGCGGTTGAAAATGAACTTATAGTGGTATTTTGTTGATAATTCGTGAATAATTAAACGATATGGCTTGAGGTAGTTCGTATGGCTTGACGTGTTGTTAAGTTATAAAGACATCGAAGCCGTGAAAGGGGACATTGCACTCTCAACCAAAACTGAAGAGTAGAAGACTCATCTTATGAAAGCGTTGTTCTGCTGTGTCGGGTTGTCCACGAGTATCCCTGGCAGCCCTTCTCTTAAGCTTTTTCTTTTTATCATGATTTCGTGTTTGCCAGACGTGCTTGTACAGCATGTATTTTCAATTATTTTATCGGTATATCTATGAAAGAAACTGATAAACGGTACAAATAACGCTTTCACGAACGAGATCGAAATCCTTGTGTCAGTTCAGGCAGCGTACACACTACTCCGAAGAACTTTGAAAACGCAGCTTTATTTCTACGGTTAGGCCTACCGTCCACACTGATCCGTCACGAAAACGGAGCTTTTCAAAAACGCT